ATTTGTGCAGAAGGCATAAATGAAGATAATCTATATGTATTGCAGGGACAAAAGATTCAATGTTCCTATATATTTAAGAATGTTGCAGAGCATGATTCATGTGTTCATCTTCTGCATAGAAGACTTGGCCATGCAAGCTTTAAAGTTTTGCAGCAAATGCAAGATTTTGCAGAAGGGCTAAATTTGAAGGGATGCAAAACATATTTGGACTGTGCAGTATGAAAAGCATCGAAGTCAAAGGCATTCCCAGTTAGTAAATGTAGCACAAGACAAACAAAAAGAGTTCTAGAGCTGGTCCATGTAGATCTGGTGGGACCTATGCAAGCCAGTTTGGGAGGAGCAAAATATGCACTGATAATTGTTGATGATTATAACAGGTATTCGTTTTGCTACTTGCTTAGAGCAAAGACAGAGGTGCTACAACAATTCAAACAGTGGGTAAGTTTTGTAGAGAGAAGGCACAGACAACAAGTGTGTCAGTTGCAAACTGACAGAGGTACTGAATTTATGTCAACTAAATTCCAACAATGGTTGGGGCAGTTGGGGATAAGACACAGACGTACAAATCCTTACACAGCAGCAGAGAATAGTGTAGCTGAAAGAAGGAATGGTGTTTTGCAAACAATGAAAGATTCATTATTGGAGGATTCCGGTATGAGCAGGTCATATTGGGGAGAAGCCATATTGACTGCCAATTATATAGTTAACAGGCTGTGGAGTTCCTCCATTAATAATACTCCATATGCCATTCTATATGGGAGAAAGCCATCACTGGCACATTTGAGAATTTTTGGAAGTACTGCATGGGTACATATTCCAAAAGCAATCAGAAGAAAGGGACAGCAAAAGGCAAGAAAGCTCAGGTTTGTGGGCTATGAGCCAGGGTCAAAAGGATATCGCTTTAGCGATGGTAGTAAAAGAATTGTAATTTCAAGGTCTGCTAATTTTGCAGAACAAAATTGGGACAGAATTAATGTAAATTCTGGGTATGTCTCACTTAATGATGGTGATCTATTTAATGACAATATCTAATGATGGAAAAATGATTGAAGATGTCAATGTTCAGGGAGGAGAGGCTGAACAAGACATGAAACCAGAAAGAATTGAGACACAGGAGCAGTTAATACCATGTAGGTCAGAGCGATGTAATAAAGGAATTCCGCCTGACAGGTATTCTGCCAGCAAGGTAAAGGTTTGCAATGTGTGGTATGAGCCAAGAAGTTATAAAGAGGTGTTGGCATTACCAAAAGCTGAACAAGAAAGATGGAAGGAGGCCATGGATAAAGAGATGAAATCCATGGGAAGACCATGAAGTATTTAAATCAGTGACTTTGCCACAGGGAACCAAAGCTGTGGGTTGTAAGTGGGTATATAAGAAAAAGGTATTGCCAAATAATGATATACAGTATAAGGCCAGGTTGGTGGCACAAGGTTTTTCACAATTAAAGAATGTGCACTACGATGAAGTATTTGCGCCAACTGTGAAAAGTGAGAGTATAAGATTAATACTAGTGTTGGCAGCTGCATATAAGCATAAAATCTGGCACTTTGATATCACAACTGCATTCCTCAATGCTGAGTTAGAGGAAGAAATTTATATGATCCAAGCACTAGGATATGAAATTGCAAAACCTAACATGGTATATAAATTAAACAAGGCTATTTATGGGCTGAAGCAGTCAGCCAGAAACTGGAATATCTGTTTAGATACTGCTTTAAAGGATGTTGGATTTAAAAGTTGCAAAGCTGATAATTGTATATATATACTGGACAGTTACAAGGAGGGAATTGTCTACTGTTATCATTTGTGGATGATCTTTGCTTCATCGCAAAGGATGCTTCACAAGTCAAAGAATTTGCTGATAAATTAGGAAAGAAATTTGAATTAAAGAATTTGGGAGAAATAAAAAATTATCTCGGTGTAGAGATATAGAAAAATGAAAACAGTGGTTATATTCTCAGTCAAAAGAGAAAAATTGAGCAGTTATTGGAGAAATATAATATGAAAGATTGCAATACTGCTCCCACACCCATGAGTGCAGATTTTTATAATAGTTTATGTGCGGACAAAGGTGAAACCTGTGATCAAGAAATATATCACTCGGCAATAGGGAGTTTGTTATATCTATCACAGTGGTCCAGACCAGACATAGCTTGCGCAGTAAGCATTTTGAGTTGTTTTACTGCTGCACCTACAAAGTTACATTGGATGAGTGTAAAAAGGGTTCTCAGATATTTAAAGGGAACTATAAATTTGGGTCTTCAAATACAGATTACTGAGGAATTGAAATTGAAGTGTTATGTCGATAGTGACTATGCAAATGACATAAACACAAGGAAATCAAATTCTGGGATTATAATATTGTTTGGAGGGACTCTGATTGGATGGAAGTCCAGAAAACAAACAACTGTTGCTATTTCAACAGCGGAAGCAGAGTTTATTGCTTTATCTGAATTGTGTTCTGAAGTAACATGGTATGTACAGTTGTTGCAAGATTTAAATATTAATGTAAAAGAATCTGTAAAGGTATTTGAAGACAATGCTGCCTGTATAAAAATGGCAACTGGTGACAGGGTGAAGAACAGAAGTGAACATGTAGACATTAAGTATTGTAATGTCAGGGAAGCTGTAAAAAGAAAATTGATTAGTTTACATCATTGTTCTTCTGAGGATAATTTAGCAGACATGATGACTAAACCATTGGGTAATGTTCACTATGGAAAATGTATTAAGTCTATAGGTCTGATGTCTCTTTCTGCAATGGAGGAGTGTTGGAATATTCATGAACAGGAAGAGTCATGTGGTAACTCAGTCAGCCAATGTGAGGAAAGTGCTACCGAGTCTGTGCAAAAGAGTATTGAGTTAGGAGCTGGATTTCCAGTCTCAGTTTTGTCTCTGGTCTGTCTCTGTAAGAAGTCTTCATTAAGCTATGTTGCTGTAAAGAAGAATGGTATTGTAAATATTTTTATATAAATATAAAGTTATTTGAATCAGCTAAATGCAGTCAACTGTGAGAGCTTCTGATTTATTTTTTCACCAATACAGAAATTAAAATTCTCCAATACAGAAATTAAAATTCTCTAACACGCTCTTTGAACTCAATCCAACTTGGGAAGGGTCTAAGAGGCCGTGTTTGCAAAAGCATTTCTTTTTATTATTTTTATGTTTTTCTCCAATAAAACTTTGTTTTGTTAACCAGACTTGTTTTTGTATTGTGAATATCAATTTTTGGGGTTTTTAAATCTCACACTTTTGTCTCAAGTTTCACATTATAGCCAGCCACCCTGGCACCACTGTGCAGAGCCCTCACTACCCTGCACTTTGCAGACCCTACTGCACCCAGCTGATCTTAGCTGTTTTCCTCCTGCTGCTGATAAGGTCATGTGATATTTCAGCTAATGACCATATTGTTTACTGACAGAAATTCCAATCCCATTTATCACTGTAATTTGAGGATTACCTGTATGCTAAAACTTTTGACTAAATGCAGTTTATACGTGAAATACTGTTCATTATATTTCTCCATGTCTTTCTATCTTTGCAAATCATCCTTCTTTTCTACTAGTTCTATAAATCAATTCATGCACTCTTTTGCTGTTCACAATTCTCACCACTCTTTCTGATCCATCCACGTGTTTCTTGGCCTTTCCTTTCATTTCCAGATATTGATTTTTGCTGTTATTTTTATTAATCATCTCAGTATGTCCACATCATTTGTTTCTTTTTTTACTAGTTATTCACTTTGGTATTGAATTGTCATCTCTATTTTTTCTTGTTTTATCATATACATTTAAATATCTTATTCCCACTACGTTCAACTTTTATGTTTATCCAGTTTTGGTCTTCTCACATTTTTATACTTTCAGAAGTATGTTCTTATACTTGGCCATTTATTTTTGGAAACACTTTACCAAGATATACAAATTCACTGCTTTGATTCTGTACTCTTAGTGAGAGAGAGAGAGAGACCATATAGATGCAATCTGATCCAAAGCCCTTGTCACTTTCCCATTCCAAGCTGAGATCAAAGTCTCAGTCAAACCCTGATTTAGCGTTTCTGAAAGCAAAAGTTGCTTCTGAAACTCAGTTGGGTCCATTAGTGACATGGAGCAGACTGATCAAATATGATGATCCAGGTCCAGATCACAATGTACCTGGCCCAAGACAAAAACCACATTAATGAATGATCTCCACTCATCATACATTTTACAATATCTTCCTCTCATCTTAATTTCTGCAGCATTATCTTCCTGCATTTTTCTCATCCACAGACTCTTTCGTGTCATCATTCCACCAAGCATTTCCAACAGGAAATGTCACATACATTTGTGCCACTATAACAAATTCTTTTCACACTACTGTTAGGAGTATTAAAATCATGTTTCCTTATGTAAATTTTACTTTTATTGTAATGCAAAATTAAATTATTTTTCAAATAGGATTTTGTATATGTCAACTATCCAGTTGGAGGATCCAGAAAAATAAACTCCTCGGACATTATTTTACCAAGAGTGTAAACTTTACTGAATACACTATATTGGCACAGACAAAGCAAAACCAGCTCTGGATTTCCCATGCAAAAGCTAGCATAGTTAATTCCCCTCATTCTCTATGGGCCACCCACAGTCCATTATGTCCATCAAACACTTCTGTTCATTTTGTTATGGGAACCAGCAATGTGTTCTTGGGTTGGAGTACTGTCCCAAAGGAACCGACGATGCTCAGATGCAATTCCCCCCACCCTTGCATTCCATCCACCTCCTCTCTGTTCTTTGTCAAGCTGCGAGTGAAGCAGAATATAAGTGAAAGTGCAGATCAGTCTTGACAGTATACTTTTATTTCTTTCCTTTTCTTCGATGTTTATTATTCCCCAACAATCATTCCTGACTTTAATAGGTTCTCATTCAGAACCTATCACTCTTTTATTCTTTACATGTCTATGTGAAAAAATATAATATATTTAACATATAGGGGCTGAATTTTTAGTAATCTTACTTACAGCTGCCAAATTTCAATGGGCACGAATGAGCATCCATAGGAAAATCTTCTAAGTGCATTGGACATTCAGCCTGGACTGTAAGCCTAGAAGGGAAAATGCCAATTTATGGTTATCTTCTGCTAAGAGATGATGAAAATCAATTTCTCAAAAATTAATTGAATCAACACAGAGATCACATATTAAATTAAATATAAATTCAATGCAGTTTGCTGGTTCATGTTATAGATTCCTTCAATGGACACTGTTTTATGATGTCAAAAAGTTAGAAATATTTCATTCACAATTATTAGGAAAGATTAACTGAATTAACATATAAATTATAGAACCATAACTTGACTAATGGCAGCAAGAACTGTGATGTGGAGGCTATTGTACATCTTGGCACTAACGATCTGTCCCAAAAAGATGTACTCTCTGTGCAGAACGATTTCCAGAGCTTGGGGAAGGAACTTAGCAGAATAGGCTGTAGGCTTACTTTCTCAGAGATTTTACCAGTGTATAAGGAGCAAAACGGAAAAGGCCAGCGCATAGCACAATTCAATATGTGGCTAAAGGAGTGGTGTAAAGGGGAAGGCTTTGGATATATTAGTCACAATGTCAGTAGCTGGTCCAATCAAAAGATGTACAAAAGAGATGGTTTGCATCCATTAAAAAAAGGGACTGAGTTACTCGGCTATAAATTCACAGATTTTCTGGAGGGAAATTTAAACTAAATAGCGGGGACAGGAAGTTAATTGATACAGAACAACCCTGTCCCCGGCAATCTAAAAATTATAGGGCTATTAGTCCATGTAGCATAGATGTGTGTGTGGACAAGAATACCAACCTTGCTATCAAGCAAAATGAAGCCTCTAATAGCGAGTGCCACACAAAGTGCACTAACCAAATAGGTGGTAAGACAATAGGGGAACTCAGGCACCACACAGGTTATGTAGAAAGGAAACACAGGGCCACTCACAAAGGACTCAAATGTTTATACACCAATGCACAGAGTATGAACAGCAAACAGGGTGAACTAGAAATTCAGGTTAATGAGGGCAGATACGATATTGTTGCCATTACGGAAACATGGTGGGAAACTCACACATGGAACACACAGCTAGAGGGATTTAAATTATTTAAAAGAAAAAGACCAAATAAAAGAGGAGGTGGAGTTGCTCTCTATATAAGAAATAACTACATCTCACAGAAATAGAGCACAACAATGATAAAAACTGTCTTGAATGCATTTGGGTCAATATAAAAGGGGGGGGGGAAATGACATTGCCATAGGTGTATACTACAGACCACCCAACCAAACAGAGGAAATAGATGAACTTTTTGCTAGTCAGCTAACTAAGGTATGTAGGAAGCACATCACAATAGTAATGGGGGACTTTAACTACCCTGACATCAACTGGGAGACAAACTTTGCACCAAGTGGAAGATCAAACAGGTTCCTGGCAAACCTAGCAGACAACTTTGTATCCCAAAAAGTAGAGAAGGGAACTAGGGGATTAGCCATTTTGGATCTAATTCTCACTAACAGAGATGAAATGATAGAAGGTGTTGAAGCCATAGGAACCCTGGGAGGAAGTGATCATGCAATATTAGAATTCATCATTATGGAAGCACAAGCAATAGAACACAGTCAAACTAGAGTCTTGGACTTCAAGAGAGCTAATTTCAATAAACTTAGAGAGGGCTTGGGAAGGATTCCATGGATGAGAATCCTCAAGGGGAAAACAACTCAAGAAGCTTGGGAAATTTTGAAAAATGAGATAATAAAAGCACAGTCTAGCACAATACCAACAAAGAGGAAAAACAACAACTCTCAAAAGAAACCAGCATGGCTGCATAAAGAACTCTCTGACAAATTGAAAGATAAAAAGGACAAGTATAGAAAGTGGAAAGAGGGGAACATAACTAAGTCAGAATATCAGCAAATAGCCTGAGCCTGCAAAGATGAAGTGAGGAAAGCCAAGGCTCAAAATGAACTAAGGCTTGCGACCAAAGTCAAAAATAACAAAAAAAGCTTCTTTCAACATGTAAAAAACAAGAAAAAAGTGAAGGAAATGATTGGTCCATTAATGGGTGGAAGTGGCAAGAAGGTGACAAGCAACAACGAGAAAGCAGAACTATTTAATTCGGTTTTTGCATCTGTCTTTACACAAAGGGAAAAAACAGACCAACCTATCAAAAATAGTGCCATAAAAAACAAAATAGAAACACAAGTTAAGATAGGCAAGAAAATGGTGAGCACCTGTCCAGCCTAGATGAGTTCAAATCGCCAGGACCAGATGGATTACACCCCAAGGTTCGCAAGGAACTGGCATATGTGATATCGGAACCACTGAACTATATTTTTCAAAGATCCTGGAATACAGGGGAACTACCAGAGGACTGGAAAAGAACTGATGTAATTCCCATCCTCAAAAAAGGAAAAAAAAATGGATCCAGGAAATTACAGATCTATCAGCCTGACCTCAATACCTGGGAAGATCCTGAAAAAGATAATCAAACAACGAATCAACGAACACCTTGTTGTTGTTGTTAATTGCGAAGTCGTGTCCGACCCATCGCGACCCCATGGACAATGTTCCTCCAGGTCTTCCTGTCCTCTACCATCTTCTGGAGTCCATTTAAGTTCACACCTACTGCTTCAGTGACTCCATCCAGCCATCTCATTCTCTGTCGTCCCCTTCTTCTATTGCCCTCAATCTTTCCCAGCATTAGGCCCTTCTCCAGTGAGTCCTTCCTTCTCATTAGGTGGCCAAAGTATTTGAGTTTCAACTTCAGGATCTGGCCTTCTAAAGAGCAGTCGGGGTTGATCTCTTCTAGGACTGACCGGTTTGAACGCCTTGCAGTCCAAGGGACTCGCAGGAGTCTTCTCCAGCACCATAGTTCAAAGGCCTCAATTCTTTGGCGCTCAGCCTTTCTTATGGTCCAACTTTCACAGCCATACATTGCAACTGGGAAAACCATGGCCTGGACTATACGCACTTTTGTTGGCAGGGTGATGTCTCTGCTTTTTAGTATGCTGTCTAGATTTGCCATAGCTTTCCTCCCCAGGAGCAAGCGTCTTTTAATTTCTTGGCTGCAGTCCCCATCTGAGGTGATCTTGGAGCCCAGAAAAATAAAATCTGTCACTACCTCCATTTCTTCCCCATCTATTTGCCAGGAATTGAGAGGGCCGGATGCCATGATTTTGGTTTTCTTAATGTTGAGTTTCAAGCCAACTTTTGCACTCTCCTTCTTCACCCGCATCAAGAGGCTCTTTAGTTCCTCTTCACTTTCTGCCATTAGAGTGGTATCATCTGCATATCTTAGGTTGTTGATATTTCTCCCGGCAATCTTAATTCCAACTTTTGATTCATCTAGCCCTGCCTTTCTCATGATGTGCTCTGCATATAAGTTAAATAGGCAGGGCGACAGTATACAGCCTTGCCGGACTCCTTTTCCAATTTTGAACCAATCAGTGGTTCCGTGTCCAGTTCTCACTGTTGCTTCTTGACCCGCATATAGGTTTCTCAAGAGACAAATGAGATGGTCTGGTACTCCCATCTCTTTAAGAACTTGCCACAATTTGTTGTGATCCACACAATCAAAGGCTTTTGCATAGTCAATGAAGCAGAAGTAGATGTTTTTCTGGAACTCCCTAGCTTTCTCCATGATCCAGCGTATGTTGGCAATTTGATCTCTAGTTCCTCTGCCTCTTCGAAATCCTGCCTGTACTTCTGGTAGTTCTCGATCCACATACTGCTGGAGTCTAGCTTGGAATGTAAACTGACCTTTTCCAATCCTGTGGCCACTGTTGAGTTTTCCAAATTTGCTGGCAAATTGAGTGTAGCACTTTTACTGCATCGTCTTTTAAGATTTTGAATAGCTCAGCTGGAATACTGTCACCTCCACTAGCTTTGTTGTTGCTCAGATTTTCTAAGGCCCATTTCACTTCACATTCTAGGATGTCTGGTTCGAGGTCAGTGACCATCTCATTGTGGTTATCTGGGACGTTAAGCTCATTCTTGTATAGTTCTTCTGTGTAGTTTTGCCATCTCTTCTTAATCTCTTCTGCCTCTGTTAGGTCCCTGCCATTTTGGTCCTTTATCATGCCCATCTTTGCATGAAACGTTCCCTTCATATCTCCAATTTTCTTGAAGAGATCTCTGGTCCTCCCTATTCTGTTGTTTTCTTCTATTTCTTTGCACTGTTCATTTAAGAAGGCATTCTTATCTCTTCTAGCTATTCTCTGGAATTCTGCATTCAATTGGGTGTATCTTTCCCTTTCTCCTTTGCCTTTCACTTCCGTTCTTTCCTCAGCTATTTGCAAAGCTTCCTCAGACAGCCATTTTGCTTTCTTGCATTTCTTTTTCTTTGGGATGGTTTTAGTTGCTACCTCTTGTACAATGTTGCGAACTTCCATCCATAGTTTTTCAGGCACTCTGTCTATCAGATCTAATTCCTTAAATCTATTTGTCACCTCTACTGTATATTCATTAGGAATATGATTTAGTTCATACCTGAGTGGCCTAGTGCTTTTCCCTACTTTTTTTAATTTAAACCTAAATTTTGCAACAAGAAGCTCATGATCTGAGCCACAGTCCGCTCCTGGTCTTGTTTTTACTGACTGTATAGAGCTTCTCCATCTTTGGTTGCAGAGCACATAGTCAATCTGATTTCTATGTTGACCGTCTGGTGATGTCCATGTGTAGAGCCGTCTCTTGGGTTGTTGGAAAAGAGTGTTTGTTATGACCATCGTATTCTCTTGACAAAATTCTATCAGCCTGTGCCCTGCTTCATTTTGTACTCCAAGGCCAAACTTGCCTGTTATTCCGGTTATCTTTTGGCTTCCTACCTTAGCATTCCAATCCCCCATGATGATAAGGACATCATTTTTTGGTGTTAATTCTATAAGGTGCTGTAGGGCTTCATAGAACTGGTCAATTTCATCCTCTTCAGCACCAGTGGTTGGGGCATAGATTTGGATTATTGTAATATTGAATGGTTTGCCTTGAATTCGAATTGAGATCATTCTGTCATTTTGGGGATTGTATCCCAGTATTGCTCTTCCTATTCTTTTATTGACTATGAAGGCTGCTCCATTTCTTCTGAGGGATTCTTGCCCACAGTAGTATACCTGATGGTCATCTGAGTTAAATTCACCCATTCCTGTCCATTTTAGTTCGCTGATTCCTAAGATGTCAATGTTCAGTCTTGTCATCTCTTTTTTGACTCCGTCTAGCTTGCCTTGATTCATGGATCTTACATTCCAGGTTCCTATGGAGAAAAAATCTTTACAGCATCGGACTTTCCTTTCACCACCAGATATATCCACAGCTGAGCGTCCTTTCGGCTTTGGCCCAGTCGCTTCATTCTTTCTGGCGCTACTAGTACTAGCCCTCTGCTCTTCCCCAGTAGCATATTGGACACTTCCGACCTGAGGGGCTCATCTTCCAGCGTCATATCTTTTTGCCTTTTAGTACTGTCCATGGGGTTTTCATGGCAAAGATACTGGACTGGTTTGCCATTTCCTTCTCCAGTGGATCACATTTTGTCAGAACTCTCTGCTATGACCTGTCCATCTTGGGTGGCCCTGCACAGCATAGCTTATAGCTTCACTAAGTTACACAAGCCCCTTCGCCACGACAAGGCAGTAATCCATAAAGTGGAACGAACACCTAGAGGCAAACAAAGTCATTACTAAAAGCCAACATGGGTTTGTCAAAAATAGGTCATGCCAGACAAATTTTATTGCATTCTTTGACCAAGTGACAAAATTAATGGATCAGAGGAATGCTGTAGACATAATTTACTTGGACTTCAGTAAGGCATTTGATAAAGTAGATCACAACCTACTACTTGATAAGATAGAAAAATGTGGGGTAGACAGAATCACCACCAGATGGATCCATAGCTGGCTGACTGGCCGTACTCAGTGTGTGGTTCTCAATGGAACTGCATCTATATGGAGGGAAGTGTGTAGTGGGGTGCCCCAGGGCTCTGTTCTGGGCCCAGTGCTCTTCAACATCTTCATCAATGATTTGGACGAAGGGATAGATGGGGAACTCGTCAAATTTGCAGACGACACCAAGCTGGCAGGAAGAGCCAACATTCCAGAAGAAAGGCTTAAGATATAGAAGGATCTGGACAGACTTGAACACTGGGCACTAACTAACAAAATGAAATTCAATGGTGAAAAAAGAAAGGTTCTACATTTAGGCAAGAAAAACCAAATGCACAAGTACAGCATAGGTGGCACCATGCTCAATAGTAGTAACTGTGAGAGGGACCTCGGAGTCCTAGTAGACAATCACCTAAATATGAGCCAGCAGTGTGCTGCAGCTGCCAAAAAGGTCAACACAGTGCTAGGCTGCATTAACAGAGGGATAGAATCAAGATCACGTGAAGTATTAATACCACTCTACAATGCCTTGGTAAGGCCACACTTGGAATACTGCATCCAGTTTTGGTCACCACGATGTAAAAAAGATGTTGAGACTCTAGAAAGAGTACAGAGAAGAGCAACAAAGATGATTAGGGGACTGGAGGCTAAAACATATAAGGAACGGTTGCGAGAATTGGGTATGTCTAGTTTAACGAAGAGAAGGACAAGGGGGGACATGATAGCAGTATTCCAATATCTCAGGGGCTGCCATAAAGAAGAGGGAATTAAGCTATTTTCCAAAGCACCTGAAGGCAGGACAAGAAGCAACGGGTGGAAACTAATCAAGGAGAGAAGCAACCTAGAACTATGGAGAAACTTCCTGACAGTGAGAACAATTAACCAGTGGAACAACCTGCCTCCAGAAGCGGTGAATGCTCCAACACTGGAAGTTTTTAAGAAGAGACTGGACAGCCATTTGTCCGAAATGGTGTAGGGTTTCCTGCCTGAGCAGGGGGTTGGACTAGATGACCTCCAAGGTACCTTCCAACTTTACTACTACTACTACTACTACTACTACTACTACTACTACTATTATTATTATTATTATTACTATTATTGTAACAACAAGTAGAAGTCTATGCCACATGGATACAGAATTCATAGTCCAGGCAAATATTTCTTGGTCGGAGGAAACTAGTAGGTAATTTAATTTTTGCCATTTCAACCAAAGCAAGCAAATAATTACATGATAAAAAATGGAGATAAATATACCACAGGATTATGACATAAACTATAATTCAAACAGGTGAACATATCTAATGTTATTCCTCATCCTGTTTTCTACATAACAGCAACCCTTTGAGGTGAGTTGGGTGACAGAGAATGACTGACCTAGTCAGCCAGCCAATTTTCATGCTTAAGGCAGGACTAGAATTCAGTCTCCTGGTTTCTATCTTGGTGCTCTAATCACTAGACCAAATTAGTTCATATGACAATATACAGTATAATTTTACTGTACATGACATACACAAGATAATAAGGAAATACAAACAAAAAAGGAAATGAAAAAAAAAGCACATACCTCATAGTATATAAAAGAGTACCATCATCCTGGATTCGTAGTAGCTTGTTTGGCATAGTCATATTGTGAGCTACTGACTTCTTTCCATTGTGAAAGAATGTATCTGGAGTCCAAATTTTGCTGGCCATTAAATTATTCAGTCGGAGAATGTTCATGGGACCCTTGAATTTTAGCCTTTCATCTTTCCATTTTTGGCGGAAGAAAACATCTATTGTGTACTCCTGTAGTGGAAAAACTGTTTCAATATGACAGTCAACTAAATACAACAAGGTGGGTAGAAAATACTTGATAAGCAATTTTTTTAAAAAATAAATAAATCCACCTATAAATAAATAATTCAGGAGTTTCTTGAATGTATTTGAAATTTATATGGAGACTGAATTTATAGACTTTTGAAAAGATTCTGGCCTATACCCTGCTAAACCTGTACTGGAAAGCATCCTATTAGGGTAGAAGCTATCATAATAGCGTTTTATCATGTTTTTGGTAAATAACCTGCAGGTGTCATTATGATGATATTCGAGGTAGATTTCCAGGACCCACCCCACTTTGCATCTTAAGAAGACAGAACTCTTGGAATAGTTCTTCCAACAGGCATCCTTTATTAAGAGAAAATGGTTGCAGGCATTCTAGACAGGACTTGGGGTCCAAGCTCTCCCATTCAAGGTTTTAAGGGGTTCCCCAGTAGCTCCACCCATCACCCCCTTCTTCCAGAGACAGTCTCAGGCATTACATTCCCACCCCCTTTTCCTTACTGCCGGCTGGAGGGAGACTTCAGAGAGGAGTACATGAAAGGTAATAGCCCCATTGTTATGGTTAGTCCTTTTGGTGATATCCACATCCAGTCCCTTTGAAGTGTACCAAAGGAAGTGAGGGCCATAAAGCCCCTTTGCTCATCCCCTTCCCTTTATCATATGACAGAATCCAGAGAAGGCAGAAATGGGGTTTTCTATAGTTGATAACTAGAGATGAAATATAATTGGATTCTGACAGTATGTCTCTATTAAAACCCAGAGATCAGATTTCCTCTACCCCTTTTACTTGAAGTCAGGGTTTTCTCCATTCTTTTCTACTAGCACTACTGCTGAGATCTCCCTGCTTAGAATTTTGTCTGCTAAAGTACTTCCTTCTGTCCATACTAGATGATCATACTTTTTTCTCTGGTAGTGGAAGACATAGAAATGAAATTATAAATTAAAATCCTATAAAAGAGATTTCCAAAGCAAACATATTTATTTTTCAAAGAGGGATTATAGAGATTTTCTTTGTGGTATTTATATATCAGAATCTAGATTACTTATGGGTTAGTTACTCCAACATTCAAGTATCTATTCAATATTTATATGAGGCTACCTCTTTTTCTACAATTATTCAAGTTTTCCTTCCATTTTTTTCCTTCCACCTAAAACAAGTGATGAGTTATTTTTTCTGCTGTAGTTCTCCCAAGACATGCTGCTTGTCAAATGGAGTGCAGTGACTGCAGATACTTGCAATAATCAACTACTCCCCTATTATTATGATTCTTGACAGATCCATTTGTATGCCCATATAAGTTGTCTTAATACTCTCCCTAACCTCTTGACATCAATTGACCCTGGCAAACACTAGCAATAGGAGCTCTTAAATGATGACTCATCAGCTTTGAAATTGCCCAGAAAATACAATACTCTAAGCATGATCTGTTTTCAGGACTTTATGAATATAAGAACAGTGGCACACATTAAAAATGAAATTCTGATGCCCACTCTCAAAAGAATACACACACATACACGCCCACTGAATATCCATACAGTCCATTTTGAATACATAGCAGAAAAAAGAATCTTAAGAGTTAACAAGGTTGATACTGTGTTTCCCTGAAAATAAGACTCATCCTAAAACATAAGCCCTAGCAGGATGCTGCATGGCCTGTCATACCAGTGCCAATGCTTGCAATGTGCCACATGGCCTCCTGCCGTGAGTGGCAGCACTGGCACAATGAGCCATGCAGTCTCCTGCCACGAGCGATGGCACTAGCATGATGTGTCATGTGGTGTATGGCTGCGAACAGTCACAGAAGATCTCAGACAGCAGCATGACAGGTGGTGGGGCATGGGAGGCCTGGCTGCAGCAGTCCTAAGATAAGCGGGTAAGACATCCCCCCAAAATAAGACCTGGTGTCTCTTTTGGAGGCAAAAAAATATAAGACAGGGTCTTATTTTTGGGGAAACATGTTATATGTTACAACAGAATCTAGGTGTTCTGCTTCAGATACCATGAAGCCTCCTCCCAGAAAGAAAACCAGTCATGGAGAGGATGTGTGCAGACTATGATCAAACAGCACTTATAGGCCATGTCCTGGACAGACAGAAGTGAACTCAAGATTTTACATCTGTGGGAATACTCATTGAAATCACTGGTGACTCAATTTAATGATACCTATACCCCAGGTTTGCATATGTTGAAAATGCATTAGTGTTTACTATAAAGCTTTTTTGTTTTTTTAAAACCACCTTCTGCAGAGCTATTCTATAAATCTGTCAGAATCCAATTATATTTCATCTTTAATTATCAAACATAGAAAACCCCAATTCTGCCTTCTCTGGATTCTGCCATAAGAGGGAGAGAAGGGGGAGAACAAAGGGGCTTTATGGCCCTCACTTCCTTCAGTATACTTCTAAGAAACTGAATGTATTTATTGCACATCAAAGAAAGACTTTGAATGTAACTAGCATCAAAGAACCTTACCATGACAAAGGGAGCTAATTACCTTTCATGTAGTTTATCTGAAGTCTCTATACAGACGGAAGAAAGAAGCAAAGGGGTGGAATTGTGATGCCTGAAACTATCACTGGAAGGGGGGGGGTGATTGGGTGGGACTGCTGGGGAACCCCTTAAAACCTTGAATGGGAGAGCTTGGACCCCAAGTCCTGTCTAGCATGCCTGCAACCACTTCTTCTTAATAAAGGATTCCTGTTGGAAGAATTATTCCAAGAGTTCTGTCTTCTTAAGATGCAAAGTGGGGTGGGTCCTTACATTAGACAGGACTTGCAAAATTAATCCACCTGGAAGGGAGACCCTTGCCGGGGATTTTGCAAAAAATTTACCATGTCAGACAATGGAGAAAGAGAGGGGGAAAACTCCCTGGAAAGAGAGCCGCTGACCCAGTTGGAACCTTGCCAGATGTTGGGATCTGAGAGGTCAGATTCCTCGGGAGAAGAAGTGGTGGAGACACAGGACCACAAGCCTCGCTGGTCGATGAACGTTGGAAAGAAAAGTGAGTGGGGAAAGGAATCAAGAAAGGTGACCCTGAGACAGGGGACCAAGCAACCAGAATGGAAGCAGGAGATGGAGAAATCCCTGCATGCAAGTGAAGAGGGAGGAAGCTGGGTACCGTACTCAGACTGGATCCTAGAGAAAGCTATTGACCTGATGAAGAGAACTCTCAGCTCCCTAGGAGAGGAGAATCCTGAGCCCTACGGCCACCCCAGCTCCTGGAGCCGCAAAGGGCGAGACACCGAGGGGGACGTGGAACCTGCAACCCCGGGGACATCTGCTGATCCAGTAGTCCCCACCCCCTACCAGACCACAGATGGCAATCTGGACGGAAGACACTACCACCAACAACGGAGGCACCGATCCATTCCAAGACGTCCGCCGTTGGAGGTGAAATTCAAAGGGGAGCCAACACGCTTGGGTTTTTTCCTAACCCAAGTCCTCAGCTACATGGAGGAATATGGGCAGGACATCCCCAGCGACAAAGCCCGCATCCGGATCGTGCAATCTGCCCTGGATGGACCAGCTGCAGATTGGGTAGTGAACTTGCATGACTCCAATGCCCCAGAACTCAGTAACTTCAACCGGTTCATGTCCTCTTTGAGAAGACGATTTGAAGACCCCCTGGCTGATCGCAAAGCCCGTGAAAGGATAAAAACCATGAGGCAAGGCAAACGCCCGGTGGCCGAATATACACAAGAATTCCGGGCCATTGCCAGCAAACTGAATTGGCCAGAAGACATCCTTAGCCATTTCAAAGACGGACTAAACTATGATCTATATGACGCTTGCCTGCCCCGAGGGGACCCACACCGACTTGAGGAATGGTACGTCTTGGCAGAGGAAGCAGAGATCGACATATTGAAGAGGCACCGCCGAGGAAAACAATGGAGCCGCCCCCCCCCCCCCGAGCTGACACACAAACCGGTGAAATCATCGGCTACAGCCAAGAAGCAAATGGGATGTTTCAAGTGCAGAAGAGAAGGGCATCGAGCTGTAGAATGCCGCTCAAAGGCCCAGACAGATCCCAGACAGATCCCCAATCAACAAATCCGGAAAGTCTTCAGCTAAGCCAAAAGAAACGGCCATGAGAATGATGGAAATTGCAGAACCCCCCACTTCTGCTCACCAAGGGGAAAGAACTCCAGCCTACACCACAGGGACCAGTGGATGCCTCAGATGACAGCTCGGAGGGCGAACCCCTGGTAAGTGGATGCATCACACCCATCTTCAAAACAGTGACTATATTAATCCCCCCCATGCCCGAAGCTGTGAAGGTGAAAGCCTTAATAGACTCTGGCTGCACCCGCTGCCTCATTAGCCCAACACTAGTGGGGAATCTGGGCATCCCATCCAGGAGACTGGAACAATCAATCTCATTTGGCCAGTTAGATGGATCCATAGCAGGGGGGGGGGTGCCAGCTACCCTAGCCACTCTACCAATACACCTCTCCCTGGGCAAACATGAAGAGGACATAACGTTTGTGGTGACCCCAGGTATGGAATGATTCTAGGGATGGAATGGTTGAAAAAATGGAACCCCTGGGTAAATTGGAGGACGACAGAAATCAAATTCCCGAAGGGGGACCCTATGACTTAAAACCCCAAGGGAGGCTACCAGAATCAAGAATAGAAAAAGCATCCATAGGAGAGGAAAAAAGATTAACAGAAATACCAGAGGAATATAGGGACCTTGCTGAAGTCTTCAGTGAGGAGAGGGCGAATGAGCTTCCCCCCCACCGACCCACAGACTGTACCATTGAATTCAAGCCTGGGGCAAAACTCCCGAAGCCCAGATTATACTCCATGAGCCCAAAGGAGAAGGAGGAAATGGAAAGATTTATTTAAAAAAACCTAGAGAGAGGTTTCATTGAGCCAGCCAAGCCTAAAGTGGCTGCCCCGGTCCTTTTTAGAGAGAAGAAGGATGGCTCTTTACGTTTATGCGTGGATTATAGGGCCCTGAATA